CCCAGGTAAGTAAACAGACGACCGCCATAACCTTAGGGAATAGACCATGGAAGCCATCGCCTGCCTCCCCACCCCCCAACCAAAGATCCAGTTTTCCTTCAAAACCTTCCACCCAGCCCTCTGTTGGCAGAACCCAGGGCAGTGGGTCCTCCCTGGAGCAAAGTCCTCTCCACGTTGCTGGGCCAGCAGGATGAAATGTCTCTGGGAGAGCAGGTCACAGGTGACAACCCCATGTGAGTTCAATCGGGTACCTGGGACTTAAAGCCACCGGGGCAAAATCTGCGTTCTCCAAGCCAACGCACTGCTAAGCAGACTCTTCCTGGAGCACAGAGCCTTCACGGCAGGGGCACCGTGGGAAAGCCCGCAGACACCCTCCCTCTTGATTCTGCAGCTGCCCAAGGAGGGCTCTTGGGCACTTTACCACCTTAAATTGCAAAGACGGCGTGCGTTCGCCACACCTGGAAATCAAAGCTGGTTCTTTTCCCGGGCATTCAAATGGACTTTTCACACAGGGGGTGGGCTTTTCTCTCAGCCTGAGTTGGCCCAAGAGAAGCTGGAAAGGGAGGGGCAGGACAGAGGGAAAGAGGGGACCAAAATGCACCCTCAACCTGGGGGCGGGGAGGGGGGAGCTCAATAATCAGGCCCAACGGAGAACAAGCTGATCGGGAGGTTGGGGCGCCGTGGGAGGGATTCAGCTTTGTTCTTCCTCGATAAGCCCCCCGGAATGATGTTAATTGTTACTTTAGGTGTGTGGGGTGTAGACGATTTGTAAGGTAGAGGAGTCCTTTGGCTGTGACCAGAGCTAGCATAATGGGGCTATAAAGACTAGAACTTTTGAGTTCCTTAAACTCCGTGAAGCCATCAAATACCTTCCCTGCAAATTGGCAGTTGCAGCCCAAGCCTTCACGTCTTTGTTGTGCAGTGGGGGTAATAATCACCCGCGCTGCGAGAAAGGCACGCTGGCTGGCGGGGACGTTGGCTGCACAAAGCATTCTTGGTTTAAAAAAAAAGAAAAATCATGCAATAAAAAAGAAAACTGTTTAAGCTTAAAAAGTAAAAAGAAGCAGTTGGCTCCAGTTGTTGAAATGTTTTATAAAGCAACAGCAAGATGAAAAAAATAAAAAATAAACTGTCCCAGAATGCTGAGAGAGGGCCAAAAATATTAATATGCAGGAACACGGCAAACCTTCTGCAAGCTGTAAATATTTCCTTCGCCCCCCACGTCCAGTCAGCAGGGACGGCGGTCCCTTTTCTCTCTCCGATCTTCCCATGTGAAATCTATGCTGAATAACACGTTTTCTGGAAGAATAAAACTCAAGTAGTAGGTGGAGAATATGAGGTCCGTCAGAGGTCCGTGAATGTCTTGTTTCAAATATAGGGAGGAGGCTTCCACCCCCAGAACCAGGTGAGGAGAGGAAGGATATCTATAAAACAAATTAAAACCCCACCATGGGAAATAAAAATAAAAAATAAACAGGATTTCCTACATGCAAATGTACTCATTTGCTGAACATGGTATGCATACGAGAGAAGACATTCACTGAGGGAACGATGGTCAGATGAGATACAGGACGCCCAGCGAAATTTAATTTCAGATAAACAACATAATTTGTAATTTGTTGGCCTAAGTACGGTCTGGTTTAAGTGTGCTCGGTGATGTTCAAATTTCGCGGACATCCTGTATTGGCTGAACCTGGCAACCCTACTGACCTGGTGGGCCATGCTGGTGGCCGTGCTGATTGAAGACTGACCGTTCACACCCTGACAGGACAGCGAGCCCGGGCTCCGGCTGAAGTGAGTCCTGTGCCCATGGCTCCGGAAGTTTCTTCGGGAGGCCCGGGCAGGGGGCTGCTCAGGACCTCGCACCATCTGGGCCCTCCGTCAGCTTCAGCTGCCTGAGAGCAGTTTCAGGCGGAGGCACACCAGGGCCAGAAACTTCCTCGCAAGACCTGCCGAAAGGGGACATTGCCCAGTCGGGCCTCACCTCGGAAAAGCCAGAGCTGGACTTCTTCCCAACTATTATTTGCTGCTTAGATTGGACACCCACGGCCAAGCCCAGCCACCTGAAAATCATCCAGAGAGAGAAGGGCATCATGACGGGTCCAAACAGAGCGGAGGACCAGGGCATGTGGACACCTCATCCCTCCTGCAGACCCTGCCCCTGGGGAGAAAGGGCTGCCCCCCAAACCCAGTGTTCATGCTCAGACGGGGGGCTTGGAAGTTTGCTTCAAATCCTTTCTCACCCACCAATTGTTGGAGCCAGTTTTCCCTTCCACAAAGCGGCCACGAAGGAATCCCTCTTCCAAGAAATTAGAGAATGTCGGCAAGCACCCAGCCGGGGCCCCGTGGAGCTGGTGCCGTGATGGTTCTGAGGCCTCAGGATGGCCCAATGAGCCCCCCAGGTGAGCGCTCTCTTACCTCTCAGGAAAGAAGGAATCCTGCCGTCCAGGCCAGGCCAGCAGCCATCCACAGCCTCTCCTTCAAAACTGACCTCCTCAAGGAGCAAACCCCAGTTCCGCTCAAAGCCCCGTTTCCATCTCCCCACACTGTCCCCCAAACCCTCTGTGTCTCGAGCTGAGACGGCCAACAGGCTACCCCTCGGGTGACACTCCCCATTGCTGGTGAGCGCCAACAGCTCTGGCGCCACGTGGGGCCCTTCATGTTTGCTCCCCCATCACCACCTCCCCAGCTTCCTAAGATCCCTACAAGTTCATTTGACAGATGAGGACACCAGCTCAGAGAGGTTAGTCAACTTGCCCCAGGTCCCCGAGATGGGACACAGCAGAGCAAGGCTTGAGGCCACATCCCAGGCCCAAAGCTTGTGCTTTCAACCTCAAGACTCTCCCCATTTCTCATCCCGCCCCATCCCCCCCCCCGGTGCCCCCTGTGGGTATCTCTGAGGAGAGTGGGCAGGACTGGAGAACTATCACTCATCTCTCCAAGCCCAAGTCACGCCTCACCCGCTCGGTGCCTCCCTGCCTCAGCCAGGGGCACGCTCTCCACCTCCGCATCGTACTCTTACTCCATCTACCGCTACAAAATGAGGCACTATCACCTGGTCCACATCCATGTCCCTACTCAATGGACCGCCCGGAAGGCGTCATGCTTGCTTTTCCATTTCTGTACCCATCCCACCTTCCAGGGGCGCCTCCGGCTGCAGCGGCCTCCTTAGTGTTCTCCGGACACCCCAGGCCCGTTCCAGCTCAGGATCTGAACTTCCCTCCTCCCTGGAAACTTGCAGGCCCCCTCCCTCATCCAAGCTGTGCTCAAATGACCCGGCCCCGGAGAGCTTTCCAGACCACCCACTCACACTAGTTCCTTCCGTGCCGTTCACCTTGAGCCTCCTTCCTGGTGTCACCTGCTTTGTGGCACACATCTCTCCCTGGCCTGAGCATGTGTGTGCATTTGTTCACTTGCTTCCTTGTCTTGTCTTCCCTCCAGACACGCCAGCCCCTCCCCCAGGGTAGGGGCAACGACTTAGCCGGTCTCCTTCCTTCCTGGATCCCCAGGCACATCAGGGGTGCTCAGCAAACATTTGTGGAATGAATGAACCCTCAGTGCTCATCATATATAGACAGTCAGTAAATGAATTTATTCTTAATTAATCATTTTAACAGAATCATCTTGGAAGCTTCCCAAGGGGGAAGCAGCCTTTGCCCCTCCTGCATGAGGGACCCTCCACTCCCCAGCCATCCACTATTCACATTTCTTTCCAGGTCACTGACCCACTGTTAGAAGGATGGCAACCTCACAGAAAAGGCCAGAAAGAAAACCCTGGGCCCACCTGTACACCTGTCCACCCTGTGCCAAACTGGCCATCCCACCAGCTTGCTCAGCCATGGGCATAGTGTGTTCTGTATTCATGAATCAAACTGTCCGCTCTCCTTCCAGCCCCTGCCTGTCCCCTCACTATTTTGGCTGAGTGGACAAAAGTGACCACCCCAATTTGGGGCCTCTACCCAGCACCCACAACAGCCAAGAGAAGCATCACATGCCTTGGGTGCAGGGAGCATTGTTATAAGAAAATACAGCCTCCAAACAGCCCCATAAAGGCACAAATCTGTTGACAAGGGAGGGAGGAGTTCAGGGAAAGGGAGGTAGGGAGACATACCAGGGAGAATCACGGACACCTGTGCCCTCTCCGAGTGGCCTTGGTCATTATCTGGGAGATGACCCATTGGTCAGCAGAAGCATGCTGCCTCCCCTCACTCAGTCCCAGGAGGCCCTGCACACATGCGGATCTCCTGGCTGCTCAGGCAGAAAAATGTCCCCCTGCCCCGTGCTATCCATCCACTCAGTCATTAGACCCATTTTCCAGTTCCAGGCCTAGGACAATGTGCAATGGTGGAAGCCGTTGGGTCAGTAAGTCAGTCAAACGATTGAGTGCCCCAATTTTGAGGGGTCGGTGTTGATGGGCAGGAAGGAGAGTGTGGCTGTGGCGTCTGCAGGCCATCTTATCGGTGAGTGTCACTGGGGGATTGTTCTAAAGAGTGAATGCCGACAGACATGCATGCATGTGTTCTCCCAAAGCCACGGACAGGAATACTCAGAACAGCACCGCGGTGGCCAAAATCTCGCGCCCCAAACCGGTGGCGGCAGGATGGAATGCTCCTCGGGAGTGGAGACGAACGGTGATTATTTCCTAATCCAGGCGGTGGCCGCAGGGGTGTGTTCTCTGTGACAGAACTGATGAAGCTTGGTACACCTCGGATGGGTACACGTGTCCGTGTGCATACTTGCCTCACATGTAGGCCTAAATTTTAAAGGGACCGGGGTGTTAGGGGTTGAGGTTTCCCCAGGGTTTCCCGCACAGGAGGGGGCTACTGCCACCGGGGCCAGGCAGGTGGGCAGGGGGGAGGGCGAGGGGGCTCGGAGGCGGGCAGCAGGCACACGGACGCAGCCCCACCCGGCGCCAGGTGCAGCGAAGCCTCCGCCTCCGCGTCCCGCGTTGCTGGGCAACCGGTCTCCCTGGCGACGCGAGACGCTGAGCCCGCGGCTGGTGCGTGCGGGCGCCCCTGAGACCCGAGCCCCCATGGCGGAGAAACCTCTCAGCACCGCTGCGGCCGAGCGCATGAACCTCGTGGCCCAGGATGAGATCTGGTAATGCCCAGGATCCGGTCCCCGGTGGGCTGGGCCTTTCCCACCTCAAGCGCACACACCTGGCGGCCTGTTTCCCCTCCAAGTCCTGGAGGTGGTCGACCTCTGGGCGCGACCTCTGGGCGCGAGGACCGTGCGCTGGAGGTGGTGGGGCAGTGAGCTCAACCAGAAAGCCTTTCTTCCTTTTCTCTCAGGCACACCCCTAAAGATGAAAGATACTACATCTGGCTTTACAACCATCTGCAAAGCTTTGCTTGTTGAGAGCCAACATGTTATTTTTAAGATTTACCGAAGTTTTTATAAAAAGGAAAACAAAAATCTTAATATTTGTTCAATATGAACGAGAGATAAATATGCTCTTTACATTCTCTCTTGAGTCTCCTGCTTTTTTAAATAGTAAGAAATTTTAACTTAAATCCTTCTTCTAAAAGATTTATGAAAAAATCCTTTTTCTAAAAGATTTATGTTGAGCAGACATTTGTAATGGATGTTTTTATTTGGCATTCTCTTGAATTGCTAAATACACCATCTCTTTAAGGTTTTAACCAATATGGGAGGCTACTAATTTAAGATGCAAGTAAGTAAAGTTTAGTAACAATAAAGCATAACTGCTTACCTCTTAAACTGAGTTATCCTATTTGCCATCTCTCAGATTTTTGCCATTTCCTTGTAAAACCTTTGTTAATCTCTTCATATTTTTCTTTAAACTGGCTTTGTTTCACTCAAATTTATTTTTATAGGAAACTTTATATCGCTCTTGTCAATGGAAAGCCAGTATCATTTGGCATAAAATACACAACTCTTAATTTTTGTAATCTTTGTCTTTATCTACTTTATCTACCTTGTCTTTATCTACCTCCTACTTGGATACCTACAAAATCACCATAGCAAGTATGTTCTGTCCATTTAAAATGCCCCTTCCTCCCTTCTCCACCAGATGAATTCCTATGCATCCTTCAAGACCCAAATCATACGGCCCCTCCTATACGAAGAGAGCTGGTGCAACCCTTAGACTGTTCTTCTGTCCCATGTCCAAAGTGGCTATTGAGCCTTTAAAATGTGACTGGTCCAAATTGGAATGAACTGTAAATGTGAAATACATACGAGATTTCAAAGATTTCACACCACCAAAAAGTAATATTAAAAATTAACTTCACCTGCTTACTTTCACTTTTTTTTTTTTTTTTAGTGTGGCTGCTAGAAAAATTGTTAATTATGTATGTGGCTCATATTTGAGGCTCACGTTACATCTCCATTAGACTAGACTCTGCTTTAGATGCTCAGTGCCCAGGGCAAAAAGCTTGTTCGGGGGGCCTCCAAAACTGTTGAGACACTGGGGGATGGGGATGGGGGGCAGATATCGATTCCAAAATAGGAAGAGAAACTTGAAAATCAAAATGAACGAATGTTGAATTAGATGTTTGCAAAATGTGGCACACCAGCTCTCAACTAGTAGGTCATTATATATAAATGATATTTAATGTGGAGCAAAGGCAGGACCAGGATTAGGGTGGGGGAGGGGGCCCCTGGTGGGCAGTATTTAAGGAAGGCTGCTTCTCAAGTTCATGCAAGTGAAGACTCTGCACTTGCAGGAACCTGGGAGGAAGCACCCCCTTAAATTTTGCACCCCAGAAGCTTCACTCTCCCCACCTCACTCACCATACCAAAATGAGGAATCTCGTCCCTAGATGGTCCCTCAGGCAGAGCCAGCCTCCAGTCCTGTCTTCTCCCCAGTGTGCCACCCAACCAGGACCTCTGGTTCTTTTGACACCTGCCTCCCTCACAGTCTTATTCTGGCACCCAGCTCCCGTCCTGGCACAGAGTCATCATTCAGTCAATGTGCATTAAAAAAAATGTAAAATGTTCCCCAGTGGATCCTTTTAGGGTTTGCTACTTTCACCTTTTTCAAATACTGTCCGGCACTTAGGAACTTTCTTTTTCAGGAAATACCGCCTAAAGGCTGAAACTGAAGCACGGCAAAACTGGGCCCAGAACTGGGGATTTTTAACAACCCCTCTCGAGGAGGTAAGTGTAAATTTGATGAGCCCAGGGGTGATAGAATTGATTATTTCAAGGAATAAACGGTAAGGACGCATATACTCCACAAGAATAAAGTTCGCGTTGCATACGAAGACCGCTAATTCTGAAACCTTTCTTTCATGAATTTATTGAGCACCTACTACATGCCAGGCATCCTCCAGCTGCTTCATCTGAACCAGCTCATTTAATCCACACAAGGACCCTTGCGCAGAGGAGGGTGCTGTTTTATGCCCATTTTGTAAATTAGGAAATTGAGCTCAGAGAATTGCGAAGTCATACAGCTCACAAAGGGAGGCACCAAGGAGAGAAGCTGGTCTGTCTGATTCCAGAGCCACTTGGCCTCAGACTGCCCATCTGTAAAAGGGATGAGAGTCCTCAGCTGCCTCTCTGGGCGATGGGGAAGTCCAGATGGGATGAGAAGTAGAAGCCAGGTGGATATACGAGGGATTACTGGGAAGATACTCTCGGTATTTTCCTAAGCCAGCTAGGTAACAAGAACAGGGGAAAGGGCCAGGTGTAATTAATAGGGAGTGGTGGGGATGTCCTCAGAAACCCCCGGCCCCATGCAGGGGGAGCCCCCATCAGCCCAGCCGAGGGCTGAGCTTGCAGAGAGGATAACTCCATATTCCCATTGTTCAAGACAGTCCAGAAATGCCCATGTTTAAATGAGATCCGAGTATAGAATAGTGGCTCAGATGTATAAAACACCATACAGATACCAAATGCCTATATGGGCTTCAGTGGGATGGTGGCCACCAGACTACAGCCTTTCAAACCACCTCCAGGACAGGACACCCAGAAGCCACATTTCTTTGGACGGATGCAGAACCACGTAAGAATCACATAATTCAAAACATTCATGGTTCAAGGCAGCGTAACCCCGTTTGTAATTTACCCCATCCCGCTAGCTTTGAAATTATGCCATTCTTAATGAATTTTTTTAATGCTTACAGAGTTATACAACTTGAAATGTTATGCATAAAATGAGTCCTTATTAATATAAAATGCATAAAAAGTCTATATTAATATTCCTTATATGTAATTAAGTTGTAATTTCAAAGAGTTTGAAATTGTTTTAAAAATTAAAAGGGGGGTGGGGGCTCTCCTCTAATATTTTAAAGATTGGCCCTGAAACCTTGTTGGCAATTATTTATTTGAGTCCGTAACCTGTGAGGTTTTCTCAAATTATGACTCGGGAGTATAAATTAGCAGGTTGCCAAAGGTGGTAGGGGACACGGCAGTTGATCACTGTATCCAGAGGCTGAGCAGCCTGAAGAGCCAGTCCCCGAACGGCCCCTAACTGTGTGTTTGCACCAAGCTCCCGGACGTTTCTCAGCGCGGCTTTGGTCTCCTGCAAAACGCGGCGCCCCGGGGGGACGATGCAGAGAAGGCTCCCACTAACCTCAGTCTGACGCTTCCCATCTCTGGGGATTGTGTTGCAGTTGCTCAAGGGTGAAGAAAAACCCCCCACCCCAAAGCCCAAAATCGAGCTTCCCGAGCGGTTCCACATCCGGCCCGTGACCCCAGTGGAGAAATACATCAAGGTTTGCAAAGTCGTTTTGAATACTTGTTCTCCTAAGTAAGAAATAAGTGTGTTCGCTCCAGGAGCACAAAGCCAACCCCCAAAGGTAAGAACACAGTGGCAGCCAGCAGGTGGGAGGCCAGCTTCCACGCCCTTCCGGAGCCCACAGGTAAGGAGCACATCGGGTTACTGGTCTCGACACAGGCAGGAGCCGCTGCGTTCAGCTCTGCAGAAGCAGAGGGAAGCCAGGAGAATGACGGGGTCGGTCCAGTCATTCAGCTGACATTTACAGGGACTGGGAGGGTAAAGGCCCGGGCTCTGGAGTCAGACCACTGAGACCCAAATCCTGCTCGGCTGCTCCCCTTCTGTGTGGTCTTGCATGTGACTCGATCGTTCCATGTCTCCTTTTCCCCTGTACGGTGGGGCTCATGAAAGCACCTCCTACAGCGAGTGGCATCAGGGTTCCGTGGGATAATGCCTGTGAAGGATCTGGAATGTTACCTGGCACTTTTAGAGAGAGCTAGGGACGGCTAGCTGTAAGTAGGCACCAGGTGCTGGGTTGGGCAAACAGTGGCAAACAAGAAGAGGGGACTCCAGCCCATGAGTCTGGCTTGGGGGTGGGGAGGTAGGGGGAGGCCCCGTGAAATAAGAAATTCAACAAAATTGGGGGTGTTTTTTTAAGATTTTATTTATTTATTTTAGAGAGAGAGCACGTGTGTGTGCATGAGAGAAAGAGAGAGCGCACGAGCGGGGGAGTCAGAGGGAGAGGGAGAAGTAGATTCCCCACTCAGCAGGGAGCCCAACATGGGACTTGATCCCAGGACCCCAGGATCATGACCTGAGCCGAAAGCAGATGCTTCACCAACTGAGCCGCCCAGGTGCCCCCCAACAAAATTGCTATTTGCTATGCTAGATGCCATGGAGACAAGAGACAGGTGAGGTTTTGGAGGGTAACAGGGGATGGGGGTGCCCATTGATCTGAAGACTGAAGGATGATAAGGATCCAGCCCTGGAAAGGCTTTCCAGCCAAAGGGAAGAGCATGTACAAAGGCCCTGAGGCAGAACAATTTTGGTATATTTCAGGAACAGCAATGGATGCCATGAGGCTGGAGTTTAGTGAGCGGGGGGTGGGTCAGAGTGGGAAGGGAAGTGAGGTGGATGGAGAGGTGGGCACAGCCAGATCCCACTGGACCTCAGAGGCCAGAGGAAGGAGTTGAACCCAGTCTGCAATGGGAAACAGAGCTGTGGCATGGTGAGGACTGCCTTTTTGAAAGATCCTTGTGGTTGCGAAGTGAGCGACAGGCAATCCCAGAGGGGAGAAGACCACCTGAGACCAGTCAGCCATGGACATGGGTCAGACGCCTCTAGGACCTGCCGAGCTGGGTACATCCCCAGGCCTCCCTTCATGGGTCCATCATTTTGGTCCTGGATTTTGCCCTCTGCCAGGCTACGGAGAAAGCAGTTCTGTGTCCTGATGAAAGAAGAGATGTAAACTCACATGGAAGGCAGCCAGGGGTGGGAGGAGTCAGGCTCTATGAATTTTCTTTTCCTGATGCTCTCAGGGTCAGACCGAGCGGCAGGCACAAGGTGAGTGCTCAGTGGTGAGTGCTCAGTGGGTGAGTGCTCAGTGGTGAGTGCTCAGTGGGAGCGCATCTGATGGCTGAATGAACGAATACGCTCCAGTGAGATATGTTGAGAGTGTTTCCCCCCTGATTATCCAGCAATATAGATTCACTGATATTTTAGAAACACAACAAAGTAATAAATTAAGGAGTGCCTGGGTGGCTCAGTCGGTTAAGCGTCTGCCTTCAGCTCAGGTCATGATCCCAGGGTCCTGGGATCGAGCCCCACAGCAGGCTCCCTGCTCCGCGGGGAACCTGCTTCTCCCTCTCCCTCTGCCCCTCCCCCTGCTTGTGTTCTCTTGCTCTCTCTGCCAAATAAATAAGTAAAATCTTTAAAAATAATAATAATAATAAATTAAAATATCCATATATACCCTGACCGTGATTAGCATTTGGGGGAGCTCCTTCTGGATGTTTCGCTATGCCTCTATCTACCACCCCCCAAGAATTGCTAGCTCTTCTTCTTGTGGTGTTGTTGCTCACCCTACTAAGTACTTTACATGGTCATCTTATCTTCACCACAACACTAGAAGGTAGGTATAATCACCGCCAAACCCATTCTGTCCCTGGGGAAACCGAAGCAGCGGGCCTGGGGGCACAAGGACCTTGATCCAGGTGAGAAAAGCACTTGGCCGATTTCCTTCTGAACGTCCGTCCTTGCTGAAGAAACGGTCCCCTTCTTCCTCCTTCCCATCCCTCCTTTGGGTGGCTAGACCCTTTTAAAAATCTATTTGTTTTTAACGGGTGTGCTACACCCCACAATGCATGCCCTGAAAAGCCTCTTTCCCCCCCCGACTCTCAGTTTCCCAGGCACCCTTCCAGAGACCAGATAGGCATATGCAAGCGCGTTGTGTGGATCTTTAATCTTTTTTCCCTTTTTGCACGAATTATACCATATTTCATCTGTTTTATCCACCTTTTTTTCTCTTAGCAGTTTATGTTCAACATGTCCCGTCTCAGAACATACAGGCCTGCCTCACCGTGTTAGACTGCTGTGTAGTATTTCTATCGTATTCCATCGCGCGCCGCTGAGCGAGTCCCCTGCGGTGACCTGCAGGCTGTGTCCGGTGATTTGCTATCACCCCAGGGCTGCAGTGAACCCCCACACCAACACTGGTGTGACGCACACAGATATTGAGGATGTCTTAGGACAAGTCCCTAGGAGTACCTTTTAGGTCAAAGGATGTCTGCGTTTTCATTTTTGGTAGATAAGCGCTCTAGTCGCCCTTCACAGACAATGAACCAACTTGTTCTCCTGCAATGCCCTTGTTAACGGCGGTGTTTTCATCTCTGCCAACGTGGTGGATGAAAGGTGGCATTCCAGGGTGGTTTTCGATTACATCTCCCTTACAAGTTGGAGGTAGACTTGAAAGCTAGTCTGTGCGTCCCAAGGGCCCGTCTGGACAGGCGCGGAAGAGCAGGCCCCTCTGGCATCTGTTGATGACCTTCCCTGAAAGTAGCCTCTCAGGAGATTAATTTTAGCACTTCATCGAGAACATACGTTTGGGGGCTTTGTGCGACAGTGGCAGCCAGCCCGCCAGGACCACCCCCGCCCCTCCCCCCGCCGCCACCACCACCGCCTGGAGCACAGATCCCTTGAGCCGAGCATTGAACGCATAACCCCACGCATTTGAAACCGCTCTGTCTCAGTTCTCCTGTTAGAACAAATATTCCTCGTGTTGTCGTCATTCAAATCACCCTGTAAAAGGAGAACAGAACATCATTTCAAGTGGAAGGGGAGAAACAGCCTGAAAATTTGCCCTCATTTTTCAAATAGTTCAAGTCTGTCCAAGGAATTGACAAATGAAACTGTATTTTTTTCGTCTCAGACAGAACCTCATTTCCCTTTGGTTTTTAATTAAATTCCATTGCTTTTCATTCCCGTGGTCCCCACAGTCTGGGGTGTGCGTGGGTGTGTACACACACATATCACAAAGCCTTCCCATCGAAACCGGCAGATTTATAAGTGCCATGATACCATCCGACAATATTGTTCTATATTTTATAAAGAGTGGTGTGAACTGTAGTATTTGATATTTCTATACCTCACTCTTTTTTCCCTTTTTGCTCTTTTGTCAAATGAAAATTATTTTACTGGAGGTTGTGAATTAACGTGTTAAGCATGACCAGATAAAGAAACATATCCGGTGTTCATGACTTTTGCAAGGAGAAGTGAGTCTCGGGGTCCCGGTGATTGGAGCATGGTTACCTTGGGTGCACCTCGCTCAGGGATATTTTCTCTCCTGTCTTTTTCCCATCAGGTCTCCCTCACCGATCCTGATGCCTCCGTGGACAAGCCTCATGTCACTGTGGCCCCAGGTGGCTAAACCCCGTGCCTTTCCATTCCAGATCCTTCCATCGCCCCCAATCCCGAAGACGACCCAGGGCTTCATCGGATGGAGATCCGGGGTGCCCGGCCTGAACAAGTGTCTGGAGCACGATTATGAGATCAGAAGCTGCAAGGGGGCATATGCCAACGAGCTAGGCTGGCCGAAGCAAGGCATCCACTGAGTCCAGATAGACTGCAGGCCCTGGGCAAGAGCGGGTCGACCCAACCACCGGGCACCCAGTGTCCACGCCCAGGAAGGGGGGCGCTCCCCCAGCAGATGGGGTTCCCCTCCACGTTTGCTCAGCAGATGTTGCAAAGAACATGAAATAGCCCTTTGACTTTTTTAGTTCATCTACCCTCCCTTCCAGAACATTCTCATCACACACTCATTCTTGATTAATGTAATAAATAAGGCAAAATGGATGCTCTCATTTTTTTTTTTTGATACTTTGGGAATTCTAAGTATGGCTTTTTAAAAAAACAACGTGATTTCATTTTAAAAACAAAATTTTGTATAAGTCCTTTAATATTGCTTTCAATCCTGTACCTCTCACCACCTGTTTGAGGTTGTAGACCAGGAGTCTCTGCACCCAGACATTCCTGGGCCTGCTTTTCAGGAGGAACAGAGCACTTCAAGGATGCCTCGATTCTCCTTTCCCAGGATATTTGCAGTAAGTCAACAGCTTTAAAGGCAGAAATGAGGCCAAGATTTGCCACTGAGTATGGATTTCCAGGAGAGGATGGGTCTCCCAGCTCTGTTAAAACCTGCCCCCCCCTTACCTGCCCTGTCGCAGCACGGATGGCCGCCAAGCTGGCCCAGCTGGACCATTTTCCTTCCGCCATAGACATTTGACACTAACTCTGAGGTTTTGTTCCAGGTCCTACAAATGAGGGACAGACAAGGGGGTGGAAACTGGAGCAATCCACAGAAGAGAATGCCGGGAGGAAAAGCCCTCATGCCCATAGGCCCCTCCATCCAGACCCTAAGGAGCAAGAAAGCAGAGAGTTTGCTAGAAGCCTGTGGAAGCTGGTTTGTGTAGGTTTCTCAGTAGCAGAGCTCGATGTCTTCCTTAGACCCATGGGGTGGGTTCCTCCCTGTGTTTGCTTGACTGGGGCCCAGGGGGACTTCTGTAGGGTGCAATCCACCCACAAAGCCCATCCACCCAAACTTTTCCTATTCACCTTCCTACCCAGGTGTGGATGGATGTGCTTTACAATCCAAGAATCCTTCATCTAGAACCTTCCCCCAACCCTGAGCACTGGCCTCTCTAGCAGGCTTCCACATGGATTCCATGATGTTGAGGGCACAAGATACCCGGGGGACAGAAATCCTACTGAATCTGGGCTATCCCCTGCAAGGGGGGCTCAGAGAGCCTCTAAATTCTAGAAGCCCCCTGCAGAAGAGCCTCTCGTGTTCAGAGATGTTGTTCTCTGTAAAGTCTGCAGAACGTGATTTGAGTGAGCAGCCTTCTTACTCCACCGTGCTGGCTGCAGACGCCTTCAAAGCAGGCTACTCAGGTACTGAGAATAGAGCCACGTAGCAAAACTGACGCCTGGCCACCTAGTTGGCTCTCTGTTCCCCCACAGCTCTCCTCCAACCCAGGTTTCCCCTGGAAGAGCCAGAACACAAGAGAAGCAGCCCCTTCAGGAAGCCTTGTCAGTCCCTCTGAGTGGGGCGCCCACACTAAGCACCTGCCACAGGGGCCACCACGGCCACCAAGAAATCCTACAGTCATCATGGCTCAGATCCCACCTGCCACCTACAGACCACACATTTGAAGGAGAAATGTCACAGCTCTTCAGGTTCTGAGAAAAAGAGAAGCAAGGTATTAGGGGTTGAACTGTGTCCCCCCCCCCAAGAAAAGATATGTCGAGTCCTAACTTCCTGTACCTGTCAATGTGACCCAAAATAGAAAATAGGGTCATTGCAGATGTAATTAGTTGAATTGAAATGTGGTCATCCTGGAGGAGGGTGGGCCCTTAATCCAATATGATTGGCGGCCTTATAGGAAGAGGAGACGGACGACCATGTGAAGAACAAACATGCAGGGAAGGAGGCCACAGGGTGACAGGGACAGAAACTGGAGTAACGTGTCTACAAACCAAGAAGGGCAAGGATTGCTGGCAAATCACCAGAAGCCAGGAAGAGGCAAAGAAGAGTTCTATCCTACAGGTGTCAGAGGGAGCACAGCCCTGCTGACACCATGACTGTGGACTTCCAGACTCTTCTCCTGTTCCTCTAAGGCACCCGGTTGGGTCCTTCCGTGTGCGGGCCAGGAGATGAGAACAGTACGGAGCACATGGTGCCTCCTCCCCTCCTCCCCTGCCCAGAAAACACCCTCCTCCAAGCATATGTCTCTCTCACTGGCCTTGACCCAGGCCGTGTCTCCGTGAGAATGGGTCACGTGGCCCATTCAACTCCGAAGATGTTTCTAGTCACCCAGATGTTTAGCCCGGTGTAGACTAAACAATGCGATGCTTGGCCAAAGCCCATTCCTTTGCTAACCTAATGTTTTGGCATCTTGGTGATCACTGCAGGCAACGCATCTGCTCTTGAAGAAACCCAGGTCGTTTATTGGGATCAGATGCCATGACCGTGGCTGAGCGGAGCAATCACCCGGCCCACCAGGATCGCGGCTCCGTCTGACTGCCAGGCGTGAGGCAGCAAACACCTGTGGGCTGGGATGAGCTGCCGAGGGCACGTGTTGCTTTTTGTTCTAATTCTTCCTCATAAAGCGAATCTGAGAGTCATCTTCCATTGTGTGCACGCCCATAATGGTTTGTCAGCAAAAGAGACGGGCTCCCTTGACCTGTCTTGACTCCTGCAGGCATCCCGACCAAGCCTGGACAGGGATTCAACACACCCGTTTCGACCCCTCTGAAACTTGCTGGTGTGACTTTAATCCTGATTTTAACTGGCTGGTCTATGTCGACTGGCAGCCTGACTTTAGCGAGACTGGTCAGCCGATACTGTCGACAGAAAATGCCCCAGGCAGAGCTGAGCAGGCCACCCCCCCCCCCACATGGACAATCGAACCTCCAGACAGACCAGAAGTCAGGGCTGGAAAGGTTTTCGAGGCTGTCCTGCCTCTCACGTCCACCGGGTACTAGTGGAGGTAATGGGCACATCCACACCCATGTCACATCTGCCCGACTCCAGTTTCTCGGGAGAAGAAACATCTGAGAGATCAACCCTCGTGCACGGGGGATGGGAATGCCCACTGGTGCAGCCACTGCGGAAAGAGTGTGGCGGTACCTCGAAATTTAAAAATAGAACTGCCGTATGACCCAGCAACCCCACTTCTGACAGTAAAGCCAAGGGAAACAAAATCTCCATCTCAAAGAGATATCTGCACCCCCGTGTTGATTATAGCATACATTATAATATCTGAGATGTGGAAACATCCTAAGTGTCCATCATCAGATGAACGGATAAAGAAGATGTGATGTGTACTTATATACGCCATTTGCAACAACCTGGATGGACCTTGAGGGCATCATGCTAAGTGACATAAGTCAGACAGAGAAAGACAAATACCGTAGGATCTCACTTCTGTGTGGAATCTAAAGGAACCAAACTCATTGAAACAGAGAACGGATTGGTGGTTGTCAGGGAGAGAATGGGTAAAGGGAGTCAAAACATATAAACTTCCGGTTATAAAATAAATACATTATGGGGATGTCATGTACAGCACGGTGACTAGAAGTTCTAAAATTTTCTTTTGAAAAAAGAGGGAGAGACTCAAAGTCTGAAGACGCACCCACTCTTTGGACAATGACAACACAAAGACATTTCCATTTCTAGGGAACTATTTGATGCTTTTTGTTACTCCTTAATTTAAGTGAAGCTTTACTGCAAGTTTATGGACATGTGTTTAATGCCCCTTAAATTACTTCTCCTTAACGCATCCAAGCACAAATCCTTCTTCATCCTTTTCACGTGTCAATACACAGACAGGTTGGGGATCCTGAGTGGCTCAGTCGTTAAGCGTCTGCCTTCGGCTCGGGTCAGGATCCTGGGGTCCTGAGATCGAGCCCTGCGTCGGGCTCCCTGCTCGGCAGGAAGCCTGCTTCTCCCTCTCCCACTCCCCCTGCTTGTGTTCCTGCTCTCTCTACCTCTCTCTCTGTCAAATAAATAAATAAAGTCTTTAAAAAAAAAAAACACAGGTTTTATAAATGAACCAACACCTTGAAAACCTCAGTTGGTGGGTTTTTCTCTGCCTCCAATAATTTATTTACCAACTAACCACATGTGTGTTTTATTTTAAGGAGTAAAAAGGATGCAATATTTCGGTGGGTATCAGACTCCACTGGCCTGACCCTCCCCACTCCCACCATGTCCCCTGGCCTCTGTCTGACCTAAGCAATTGGGGCTGCTCTTGTGGGTTCACCCCACAGCACAAAGGTCCAGTCAACAGCCCCAGTTGAGAATCTAAGTGGACAACGCTCCACGATTCAATTACCCTGGACGGTTTCAAACTTGACATTTAATCTATGGAAATCAACTCTTTGTGGGTGTCCAAATGGGCTCATAAATGTCACCACACACTGTAAAATACCACAACATTTCCAAGGTCAAGGCGAGGCTGGTGAACTTGTGTCCACAATGCTGGAATACATCACAGCAATGAACCTCCAGATGGGCCTCGGTCTAACTGAGTGGCCTCTGAAATGATGCAAAACATAATTGGGTTGGGGACTGAGAATGGATTCGGTCACAAGCATATCTCAGTCCAAGACAAATTAGAAACTCCAATGTTTGAGTTACAAGAGAATTGCGTGATCGACTAAAATAGGACTACTAGGAAACACGGCTCTTGTGGCTACACGTTCAAGTACACCTGGGTATAATGGCCCCAGTGGGCGCGGAGCTTCCAGTGTCCAAAGCCTGGGACCACGCCTGTTCGAGAATTTTGGACTTTGTGGATTTCAGGTAGTGCATATACTGTGTATCACATAACCCCTCTGGCAAGGCCTGGGGCAGCTCCACAAAATTAAATGCATGAATATTTTTGTAGCAAAACTTAAGAATATTCACACCTGGGTGGCTCAGGCGGTGAAGCACCCAACTCTAGGTTTCGGCTCAGGTCATGATCTCGGGGTCCTGGGATCGAGCCCCACCTCGGGCTCCACGTTTAGCAGAGAGTCTGCTTCTCCCTCTCCCTCTGCTCCTCCCCATGTTCTATCTCTAAAATACATAGATAAAATTAAAATTAAAATAAAAAAGAACATTCACATGGAATCAAGACTCTAAGGAGCCAGTTCTCAGGTAGGTTCAGGTTTTTGCCACCAAATCAGCTTTGCTATCAAACTACTACTACTGTTTCTTGATTTGGGAGTGTTCTGGAGCTAGGGATTGGTAGGAGATTTTGGACTTAAAAGGTTGTCAGCACTCCCCAGATTAGGTTA